TAAATATTTCAACTTGTATTCAAGATAAATGTATACTTTTTCATTCAAATAAAGACAGGTGAACAAGCTTTAAGATGATACCAATAACTCCACATACACAAAAATTGACGAGCGCCTGATTCCACCATGTCGTGACACACACACACACACACACACACACACACACACACACACACACACACTCTCTCTCTCTCTCTCTCTCTCTCTCTATATATATATATATATATATATATATATATATATATATAGATAGATAGATAGATATATATATATATATATATATATATATATATATATACGAGGGGTTCAAGAAGGGGTTCATAAAGCTTTGTAACTTGGGACACACACTTTTATTTCTTCACATAGTCACCATGCAGAGTAACACATTTCTGCCACCTCTCTCCAAAAGTACTTGAAAGAAAAAAGACCCAGAATAGGCCCCCTAAGCATTCTTCAACAGCTTCAATTATGGCGTTCTTGTTGTCAGGGAACCGACGTCCTCTGAGTGTTTTTTGTTGTTTCAGATTAGGAAACAAAAAGCCCTGAGTAGGCTTGGTCTGGTGAATAAGCTGGGTGTGGCAGGATGTCAAAGCCGCACTATTCTACTGTCTGGACTGCTTGTTGTGCCCTGTGCACAGGGGCGTTGTCATGTAGTAGGAGGACCCCATTACGGAGTTTTCCTCGCTTTTTTCTCACCAAGTCGGACCACAATTTTATCAGAAAACTCGAGTTGTAGTCTCCTGTGACTGTTTCTTTTTCCATTTTCCAGGAAGTTTGTCATGATGATACGTTCACAATCTCAGAAACACGACAGCATGACTTTCCAGTTGACAGTGTTACCTTTGCCTTCTTTGGTGAGGGAGAAAAAGTGGTTTTCCATTGCATGGAAGATATTTTTTGTTCTAGATCTAGATTTAAAAAATCTAAATCCATGTTTCATTCATAGTCACCATATTTTAAAGAAAGTTGTGCCATTGGACTCAATTCTAAGGAGCGTTTTGCAGGACTCAACCCTCTGCTTCGTTGCCCACATATCAAAAGGCGGGGTACTCACAGTACAGACACCTTATTCATGTTAAGATGGTCCCGGAGACTCGTTTCAATTGACTCTACACTGATTGTCGTATCACTTGAGCATACACTGATTGTCGTATCACTTGAGCATACACTGATTGTCGTATCACTTGAGCATACACTGATTGTTGTATCACTTGAGCATACACTGATTGTCGCATCACTTGAGCATACACTGATTGTTGTATCACTTGAGCATACACTGATTGTTGTATCACTTGAGCATACACTGATTGTTGTATCACTTGAGCATACACTGATTGTCGCATCACTTGAGCATACACTGATTGTCGTACCACTTGAGCATACACTGATTGTTGTATCACTTGAGCATACACTGATTGTCGTATCACTTGAGCATACTACACTGATTGTCGTATCACTTGAGCATACGCTGATTGTCGTATCACTTGAGCACTGTTCACAGCTATACGTCGGTCTTAAACAACCAGTGTCTTCACTATGGATACATCCTCTTCCAGTGGCGGTGGGTGGACCAAGATTTGGGTGAGGCGTAGGTTTCTTCCACTTCTTTACCACCAAAAAAGCAAGCAATAAGAAGAAAACTGGGGTGATTTTTCTATAATCACGGCGAGCCACGGCATTTTGAGAATCATTCAAACGAGAAGAGTCACCTTTGTCTTCCATCTCTTTGTTCTTAGTTAAATTTAAGCTCTTCTGGATGGTGAGGACGAAGCCCTTTCACCTCCAAATTTCTCTAATTAGTTTTTATCTGAAGGAAAAGTTGCCTCTAAAGTGGTTTGATGTAATTAATAGCTGTTAAATCTCAGCGGCACAAACACACAGCACTCCAAACACATACCGTCTGTGAAGTGAATTGGGTCGTGTTGTTGCAGAAAATAGAACGCGCCTAACAAAGGCCCACAATGGGCGCATAGGTATCTGTGTCACTGGGGTAAAGTGTATCGTAATCTTTCACCCCATTGTCAGGGCTGGGAGAGCGTGAGCCCGCTGTGCAGTGTTATTTTTTAAAAGTCTTCTACTTTTTTTACAAGAAGAGTTTCATTAAAGACGGGCGTTGGAACCGGCTTATTCTTTCTGAGCCCTAACGAACTTTGATTGGCTGTTAGGTTGCTATAGTTGTAAGCGGTGACTACAGTGATTGAATAAACTGGCAAGCCGCCAAGCTGATAACTGTGTGTTCATTGCGAGTGATCATAACGGTTTCAGCTGCTTATTTTGTAATTTAAGAAATTTTCATTAACTAAGGGATAGAGTTGGGGTGGGGAGGGGTGGGGGTGAGGGGCTCAAGCCCGAAAGCCCTTCACTACCCACCGCCACTGTCCTCTTCAGTTATCACAAAGATTGACGCCCTTCACGATCTTCATCCATCACTGACGTGAATCCATATTTGAATTCTCTTTCCCAGTATGTCATAGTATTATAACGAGGACATTTGTCACCCTAAACTTGGACCATTTCCTGAAAAAGATGTCCGGGGGGGATTTTCCTTGGAAGTGTAAAAACTTGATAACTGAGCGATATTCAACAGCCTCCATGGCACAGCTCCAGCAAAGAAAAACAAACGTTATTGTGCATGGTTTCATGAACACGCTGACTGGTGCCTCATTTTTGTCGGATTTTCTTGAAAATTTGAATAGTGTGTTCTATAAAAATTGTCTAAAAGCTGGCGAAATTCCATTACTCTTATTCCACTCTGAAGTTTTGCTTCCTCGAAGTGTGAATATCTGGGAATTAAATTTGGTTACTAAAGATGAAGAGATTAAGCTCCTTTTAGAACACTATCAGCGCAATAGCCTAATAGGGGTCTGTTATGATTTTAACTTTATCTAAAAGTTGGAAAAGCAAGTCAAAAACATTGAGGGAGAGAAGAGGAACGAGAGAAAGAGAGAGAGGGAGAGAGAGAGAGAGAGAGAGAGAGAGAGAGAGAG